AACTTGTGCCTTCCTACAACTTTATCCCGGAGGTCTTTTGAAAGGGAATCCTCTAGAAAGCTGGTTTTCATCTTCTGGAGTAAATCAAAATCACTTCAGTTGAATGTCCGGTAGGGGACAATTAGCCTGGTGTTTTGATTTCTGGAAGTTGATTGGTGGCCGGCCTGAGTAAGTTTAAAATGGGTATACTGCAAGGGGCGCTGATCACTTAACCACAACGGTTATTTCCACTTATACATTTTTAATAATTGTCCGAATTATTTTTTAATGTTCATTTTGCTGATTACGAGGGTCATAAATGTACATAAAGCTAAAAAAGTAAGATTTTTAACTTATTTTAAGTTCCAGGGTGTAAATGTGAAGAAAAGGTTAAGAATTGTCACAGGGTATAAATGACCTTTTTCTATAAGCCACTGCATAATCTTTTCCTTCTGTCAAATCTTGCATTTTTTAAAACCAATTCGTTTTTTAAACCTCCAAAAATGTTTGCGAGAACAATATCAATAAAAATCCAGAAAAAGTGAGCCATGTATTTCAAATATCCAAGAAAATGAACATGGACGCTTAGCAGGATTACTCGATTATCCCTATGTTCAGGACTTCGCAAAAATGTCCTAACTGCATTACAGTTATATAATGTAAATTAGAAGATAATGTATTGCATGCAGGAGAACATCATCTCTACTGGTAAGTCATTAATCTAGTATGTGTATTGCATGACCAAGACTTTGACTTACTAGGCTAAATCTGCTTACTGTATTGTGGTTATTGTCAGGCATGTGAGCTGTTCTCAGGGCCAGGGCAGTAGGTCAAAGATCAAACCAACAGCAGCTTAAATCTGTCTGTTTAATATCAGGTCTTATAAGAATTTACCATCTGATTGTCATGATAAATCGGCTCGTAATTCCTCTGTGCGTCTGCGGCTCAGCACCATTACAAGAGACCATCCATGTTTTCTTCAGCATGGTCTTCAAGCACAGTTTGAAAAGAACTTCAATGCCAATGAAGCACATTTCCAATTATTCTTGATATACCATCTGCTAAAGATATGGGCAGCTAATGGTCACTCCAAGTTGTCATAATACCAGAAAAATACAACTTCTTAAGATAATTAGGTAAAATCTTCAACTTCCTGTTTACAAGACCCCTGGGTCAAGAAACGGTGTTTAAAATCCCATGATGCCATTTAGGCCGGTCTGAGTTTCATGGGCATTCCCAGCAGTGATCTGATAAAGGATGCATTCACACAAGTTAGTTCTCATCAGGCAAAAAATGTGCGGTAAGGAATCCATCAATGCTTAAATGTAATGTACTAGCATCTTTATTTATTAAAAAAAATATACTTAACAAACAGGTTTAACGTCTTTGATTCAACACTGATAGATCTCTTGAGCCCGGGAACTCATCTGTAAAAAGATTCAAATAGTAAGTAATCCAGTGCTTCTTAAATCTTGTTTCGAGAGGTCACACCATGAGACATCCTGGATGCTTATGATGGCTTTGTGTACAATGAGATGGAAGAGCTTTATAAACCAGGTTTCCTCACATTGCAATTATTTGTTCTCGTTGGTCTCAATCGAACACATTTCTTATTATTTCCCTTTTAAGAAAAGTGTAAAAACCTCAGGCTTGTAGAGTCATCTTTATCTTCCCCCTTATCTCTTTTATGCCCACCGCTTCGCCTGGCTCTCCTTCAACCCCGAGATTTAGTCTGTAAAGTAGGAATTTAAATACCACATCTGCAATGATCCAAAGCAAGAGAAACAGGCTTATCATTAAGCCAGACCCATCTGCCTTGACATGATAGTCCGCCCCGACCCCCACCCATACACCCACACTCGGCTCATAACATGGACTGGTACTGATGCTTCCTGGTTATAAATAAATTCAAGCAGCAGGGGGTGTGGGGGGGGTCTGTGTGGGCTCAACAAACCTTGTCAATGTCTGGAGCCGAAACACATAGTAAAACACCTTGACAGTTACTTCAAAACTCAGAGGAAGCAGAGACATTTGAATAAAACACAAACATTGACTCACACTGCCTGCCGCGTGGAGCAAAGCTGCACATGCATTCCTCATACACACACACACACACACTAAGGGAAATGATAGTGAATCAAAGCCCGTGTCCCGCAGAGATTTCCAAATGTGCATCAAGATGGCAGAGAGCTCCTCCTCGTCTGATAGCTGAGCTCCCCAATAACAGCCTCTCTTATCCTCCCTCCAATGGCTAGAGACCTCACATCACTCCTCGCCCCTTCTCTCATTCACCTTTCATTGGAAAACTACCATAGTGGGAGTAATTAACGACTCTAAACTGAGTTCAAAAGGCAGTAGCCCGGATTGGAGGGTGCTGGGTGCAAGGGCTTGCAGGGGGCCATCAGCGAGGCAAATCCCCATGGTTGTATCTGAGAAGCTTTTTGCTAACACATCCACGTTGTGGGGGAGATAGAAGGACGCATCGTCACCTCGCATGAACAAATCCAGGCTGCAGACGGCGGGGAGGACATGCAAGCACTTATGTGAGGGCTCGGAGGAAGGCTGAGGGAGAGGAGAGATGAATGGGGCCGGTGGAGAAGCTCTTTATTTATGCCGAAAGAGCTCATGATGAGGAATAATATAGTTATGGGAGCAAACAAGAGANTGAAACCTCCTTAAAAGTTTAAAATGATACACAAAGTTTGCACAGTTGATTCTTAACCTTATCCTAAAACTTGCTTTTTTCCTGTGAAGTTACTTCAACGATCAACTGTGCAAACTTTGTGTATCATTTTAAACTTTTAAGGAGGTTTCACACACCACAACACTGCTCAACGGAAGGGAGGGGTACCGAGCCCCGGTATTAAACGGGCCCCGGGGCTGAATTATTAAAGACCGTATTGTTAAACTCCGACATTATCGGTACTGGAGACATTTAAAAGAGATATGTCATAGCCTATGTATTATTGCTACACAAACATTATATTGCCATTTTAGTTTCGCCAACTCCGTTTCTAATACGCAAAAATACTGAAAAATGCGTCAATGATTATTTTTAGTATTTCTGACCTTTTCAATCCAGACGAGAGATCTCTCTCTCCGTCTGTGTGCGAGGGGGCGGGGCAGTTTACACACACGCAGCTGCTACATGCAACACACACACACACACGCACACGCACACGCACGCACGCACGCACACACGCGCGCGGCGGCGAGAACGCGCTCCGAGGTGTGGTTAAACTTTACCCGTCTCGATGCTCGTTACCCAAAGTGCAATAAGAGTTTAGCATGTAAGGGCGGTAACACGAGCAATTTGTCTAAACATTTAGCAAAAGTGCTCCACATCCAGACGGAGGAATGCACCGGGTTCCACTGTCTTTCTAGCAGCTCTGTAGCCCCATCCACGAGTAACGTTTCCACGTCAGGTGTTATGTATGCTAGCAGCAACACACGGAGCTAACTCAATGATACAAACATGGGTTAATGATTAGAGGTAACTGAGTTATTTATTTTGTTAAAGTTTCAGCTATTCTGTTTACAGTTCTGTCATCACATTATTTAATAAGATTTGTTAAAACATTGTTGTTTCTTTTGATGTGAAATATTATGTATTTAATTTAAATAAAAAGCAATGTTAGTTTTGTTCACAATGTGTTTAGTTAGTTTACCTTATTTTTTTCTCCAAAAGAACCGATAAGAGTACCGTTAAAAGACCGGGTCGATAAGCGGTATCGATAAAAGTAGCAGTACCGTTAAAACCTTAACGATACCCATCCCTACTCAACGGGTAATAACACCACGAGACAGGACTTAGCAAACTCTTCAAAGTTATCTCGACCATTTACTCATTTGAAACGACTCGTAAGCGGGAGAATATGCAGCTCACTGTGAAAAGTACTGAGTAGGAACGTCTAAACATGTCCCGAGTTATTTTATATGATTACTGCCTTAAAGGGGGCCCTATTGTGCTTTTTGGGGGGTTTCTCACTTCCTTGTAGTGTGTTTTAGTGCATGTAAATGGTCTGCAATGGCTTAAATGTGCAGACCTACAATAAGTGCTGACACCTGAAAATGAGCACAATAGGGCCCCTTTAAGTGATGTTAAAATGATGTATGATGTATGCATTGACTCAAATGTAATCTCCATGTTAAGCAGCTCTCTCTGTGGATGCAATTATACACAACCTTCAATCATGAGCTTAAAGAAAGCTGTAAATCCTGCCTGAAACTACACACTCACCTAATGTCACTCTATTAGATACTTCAGAACACTGCAGGTACTTTTCATCCGGGGAAATATAATTGGATTTCTCTGCAGTCTTAAAAAATAAAAGCTTGTTTTGCAGACCGGTTCATATTGTTGATCAAATATTGTTAAAAACCTAATCTTGTGCGTGACTTGAATGCAATGATACTCAGGAAGGACATTGCGCGCGCGCGCGTGCACACACACACACACACACACACACACACACACACACACACACACACACACACACACACACACACACACACAG